TCCTCCACCAAGACCAGCTTAGGATGCGCAATCCATATGGTCCACTTCAACCCGAAGCAAAACAAAATAATGGAAGTAAGGAAGCAATGGTGGGTATTTTGGAAGAAAAGCATCTCCGACAGGGGCTTGCAAAACTTTTCGGGTTCCTTTCCAGGGGGAGGAATTTTTCCAAGAAAACCCTCCTAATGCTAATGCGAGCGACACGAAATACATCCTGACGATAAAAAAATCGACTTTTCTTTGTTTATTTTGCCATAAAAATGACATAAAAATGAAGTTCAGATGTGTCCTAAAATCGTGACTTAGTTTAGGTAGTATCACTTACAAAACATCCCCAAATTTAGTGAGAACATTTTTTTTCTTTTCTAGATAAACAAGAAAAATTGAGGTATATATATTTTTACTGGACTGCGAGGATTCTTGCAGGTTTATTTGTCATTTTATTGGACTGCAAGGATTAAAAAAAACATTTTATGAAATGTACTCACAAAATCTTTTCATATTTGTTGAGAGTGATACATCGCCATGTTGGTCTTTTCAGTCCAATAAAAACCATGTACAGTATCTTCGTTTTTTTTTTCTTTCTTTCTTTCATTTTCAAAGTGATAACACAACTTGGGGGGGCGGGCGGGGGGGGGGGTTGATTTTTTTAGAAACAAATGGAAAAAAAAACCCTCTCTGAATTTGGAGCAGATTTGATGCTGGAGTATTGACAAGGACAGACACGAGTATGCTCGAGTGCCAGATTTTGTTGCGCTCCTTTTCAACAACATTTAGAGCAGCGCGACGCGACAGACGAGCGAGTCCTAATCTAATATAACCACAGCGACAAACGGCAATTACGTCGAGGGAATAAAAATCCTATTAGTGCATTCAATCAGGTTCAGTTCTAATGAGCACCCCGGTGAAAGTCACGGGAGTTATACTCACTTAACCTTCACTCCAATACATTTCGCATCCTTTTCATCACTTCTATCGCCGCACGGCCGCAAATAAAGATATTCTTACGCTTATAATGAAATCTATTACTCCTCGACTGGCCTTGGCGATAACGCAGCGGCTGCAGCAAGAGTTTAACCAGCAATCGCAAACGCTGAAGGCAATTTCAAACAGCCAAGGCCTTCCCGTTTTGGAACGCCACCGCGCTTCGGTTATCATTCACGCCACAGCTCAGGAAAATGGGAACTGAGATATGTGTTTGAACGCAATTTGCAATTAAATGTAACAAAGGTGAGAAGGGACGGGTGGTGGGGGACACGCTGTGGAGCTTTCAAATTGACAGAAGGGACGACATTTATAAGAAGGGTTGTACAGTAAACCCCGCCCCCTCCATCACGGGCGTTACCTTCCAGATCTGCGATATCGAAATGTAAATACTCTAGGCATGTTTTGTTCGCATTATTTTTTTTAAGGTATTTTAAAGCCCTTTAAAATAAGAATCATATCTAAAAACATTCAATATATTGAAAGGAGTACAAAGAGTGTATGTACCAATCTATGTGTTTACAAACCAACAAACTTATCCTCTCGCCAGGTAAAATGAATTTACAGATTTCTGTAGTCATAAAACGCAGGATGATAGAGGATGGAGACATCCAACCATCTTTCTCATCTCTTCAGCAAAAGTGAGGCTGTGTTGAAACACTTCCTGTTTTTTCTTCTGTCAAATTTCTAGTGTCAAACTAAATCGCGTGTCACCACCTAGTTGCCAAAAGTGGAACTACATCTCAAAATAAAGCGCAAGATTGAATTACGAATGGGCGAAAATATACAAAGGAATTTTTTTAAAACCCACAAATATATTTCCGAATTCTGTTGGAGGGAAAGACCTCGGCAACAATAATAATAAAGCCAGTAGAACCTGCGGAAGAGGAGGCTAAATCGAGTGAATGTAGTAAATACGTGTAGAGAGATTGCAAGGCCGCCTTTTTAATTTGGAGTAACTGTGCTGATGCTCAATACTTTATTTTCATATTTGTCTTCCACATAGCTCTCCTTCTGCGCCGTCCAAAGCATGCACAGGCATATCATACCCTTTACTGTTTTCTCTTCAAAGGTGACCTTGCTACCAACATGAAAAGCGCGTCGTTTTTTTTTTTTTGCTTTTATTGGATAAATGTGAGCCTGCAAAATGATTACATGGCTTCCACTGCGTGCTGCATACACTCGTCCAAACATTATATTCTTCTCGTGTATGCGCATCCCCTATTTAATCCGTGAAAATGTTGAGCAATTATGCAAACCGCGTGCTGAATTTGTGTCCATTCATCATGAGGATCATGTGTGAATATGACACAGTCATGAACCGGAAAGTGGTGATGATAATGGGGAAAGCAGATCGGACTTGCTTGCTTTTTTTTTATTGTTGTTGTTTTGTTTTAAATCAAGTCCTCTTTGAAGACTTCACGTCTCCACACGCCGTGTCACCTTCACTGACCTTCCGTGCCAGCCCAAAGAGGAATAACACGATTTACACCTAAATTGTTGCAATAACGAGAGAAAGGTCATATTTGTCACCGCCAGTCATCGCTCACGCTGACAGAAATGTTGTCCCCGCCAACAGTCGGGCAATAAAGCCTCACCGCCGAGCTATTGCTCTCCTTGATTGGAAAGATTTAAGAAGTCTTTCAGCGCGCAAGCTAATTAGCACTAAATCTCACTCGGATCCATTAGCGGGAGCTAATCGCTAAATTACCTGTCCAGAGTGAGGCATGTCTTCAAACTTAAGATGTAAAGCGGGTTTCGAGCTGCCCGTCACCCTTCAGAATCTACGAGGGGTCACCAAACGGGCCTTTCTGATATGCCGCTGATTTGGTTACGGAAAATCCAGAGGCGATTCTGGAAAAAGCAAAGGGCCACGTTACAAACGAAACGCACGTCACTCCTTTTTTTTAAGGGGATTTATGGTAGCATCCTTTTAACGGCCGTCTTGTGTTACTTTGCAGACTTCTTGGGTGAGTTCGGCACTGTTTTTTTAACCCACACAATTTACGAGCATTTACTTTTGGGGTTATCTTATTTGATGGAATTGCGCAATTTTTTTGCAGATTTCCTATTCTGGACAATTTGGGGTGATTGATGGGAGTCTTGCTTTAAGCAGAGCCATTTTGGAGGGATATTCAGTCGCATTATTTCAACCTGTGGAACTTTTCGGACATTTACGGTCGTCTCATTTTAATTTGCACAATCTTTCGTCGATTTAGTGGCGTGTTTTTTTTAACCTGTGGAACTTTTGAGGCATTTATACGGGTTTCATTTTACCCTGCGCGGTTTTTGGTGGATTTATGGTTGTCATGCTCTGACTTCTGGATTTATGGTACCAGTAGTCTACTTTCAGCCCTGCATAACTATTTGCTGCCATTTTTTATTTCAACCTGTGCAACTTTATGCAGGATTTATAGCCATCTTGTTTCAACATGTGCAACATCTAGTGCACGTACAGGATTTATTTATTTTTTTACCATGGTCTCATTTTAACCTGCGGCACTTTCTATTTTGACAGAAACTTTGAGCATCCATTCGTTACCTGTGAAGACTTTCATCAGTTGGACCACGCTGACGTGCTTTGCAGGGAGTGCGATGTTTAATGAGTTAATTAAAATGTTAAAGAGCCCATTAAATTGAAAGACAAAAAAAATGCAATGAGCTGCACTCTCCATCAAACAGGACATTGTTGTTTTTGAGGCTGCGAAGTGAGTAACTGCGCTCGACTCAGGTGGTGCCGAGCAAAGTCCTCCCCTGTGATTTGGCGCAGTGAGGAGAGCAAAGGATGGAGTGGCAAAAAAAAAAAAAAAAAAAAAATCCCCCTGGGGTGGAGGGAGTTCTTGTCATTGTCTCTGTTTGTGTGTCTGTGCAGCAGGAAAGAAAAAGGGGGGGGGGGCAATCAAAAATGGGTCAGGTAAACAGTCTGGTCTCCTCCTATTACGCAATCAGCGTGAAGAAGGATGAACTTCAACTTAAAAAAATAAGCAATGAATTGGAATTTTTAGAAAACATGCAGTCATGAGACTGAAAATAGGAATTCATTGATGCTTATTTGTTAGTTCCGTACGAGGTGGAGAGTATGAATAAAGATGACCCTCCCTAAAAAAAAGCCCATGCACAATTAAAAAAAAAAACAAAAACCTGTTTTGGTCATTGAATCATCATGTGAGGACAACAAAAAAAAAAAACACAAATCTGCAAAGCACTTAGGCAGGTTCCCAATAATGAGGCGTCACTCAATATGGTTTGTTACCTTCTTACTCGCAAAATAAGTAATGCAAACTTGAGCATTTTTTTTCACGTTTTAGTATTACCAATAAATGTTTACATCATTCTTTTAGCGTTATTCATTGTCTTAAAGTCTTTTTCCTCCCAGGTTTTGCTTGTGGACTAGAGCAACTAAAAAAAAATATGTATTTTTTTTTGTCATTCTGTCACCACATGAGAACATATTCATGAAATCATTTCATATCCGGAAAGTCCTCAGCATGGCCTTTCATACGAGGTGTGACTCATTATGGTGATTTTTAACTGCAGTTTCTTTCTCCATCTACAGGTGGACAAAACCGCTGGAGAAAAAAAAACAAACGAACACCCCCCCCCTCCCCCCCATGTTTTTGGGTGACTGTGTGAGGGCACAATGACAAAATAATGACATAGCTGGCAAGGCCTTGCCAAGGCCTTCCATGTGAGATACGACTCCATCTGGTCTGTTGTGATTTTTGATTTTGCTCCGAGTGAAAAATGACCATTGGCAAACTCAAATCGCCGCTTCCAGCTGATGTCCTTGAACCGGCCCCGACCAACCCCATTCGAGTATCCGCGAGCCTCGCTTGCACAAGACTTTTAACAGTGAAGAGAAACAAAGCGCTTCGCCACCACAGTGCCATATGTTAATGCCCTCGTGGCTCCGGAGGTGAGGCGGGGATGCGTTATAAAAGGCGAGCCACATGCGCTTTATTGCGAGCGGTGCGCAACATAAATCATGGAGCAAGAAAATGGAGGCAATAACTCACCTCTAGGTTTGCTTTTTGTCCCTTCCACTGATAGCGTGAGGGGGGGGGGAAACGAGAAAACAGCAGGTTAGATACGAAGCGTGGAGAGGAAAGACACAGCGATAATTATCAGTCGCAAGGAAATATACATTTGTATTTAAAACAGCTCACGGCCAAACGTGTGAGTCGGGTACCCTTTTGTCACAAATGGCTGATTTTGGATGGAGCGCAACGAATGGTGCAAAAAAAAAGGCCGCAAAGCGAAAAAAAAGAAGCCTTTGGATATGATGTGAGATGATATGAAAATACAACAATCCACAATTCAAAAAATGCTGTCTGGCCTGACTTTTCCCCCCCCAGTTCGGACTTTGTCGTCTTTTTGTCCGAAGCGATAAGTAGCGCCTCATGCGCTCTCTCGAACAAGGACGCTTGAACGCCGCTACCTGAAAGTAGCGGCAGGCCTATTCACGAGAATTGAACGCTCCTGTCTGCACATTCATCACGCCTTTCAATGTCAAACGCTAACGCGGTAAAACGATGCCAACTCTGACAGTTCTTTTGAAATCACGACGACGCCTCTGAAAGGATTAACATATGGCGAACAAGGCAAACAATTAAGAGCTAAAAAAAAAAAAAAAAATTTGCAAATCACAAAGGAAATCATTCCCGCGAGGCTCAATTTGGCAGACGGCGACAAGTCGATAACCTTCAACCTCCATTCTGATTACTTTCATCATCCTTGCTTGTTTGTCTTCAGCGGTTTCAGACGGAGACGTGTCGGCTTGAGAAACAACTTGAATCTGTTCCGGATCCATGTTCATAATTCAACACATCCATCCATGTCACTCAAAACATTCATCTCTCAAATCGTCTTTCTCCACTGAAATGAATGGAAATGCCATTAATTCGCTCCCCGCCCTCACCCCCAAAAGCCAAATCTTGTTGTTTTTTTTTTTTTTAAATAAATACCACTCAATAATATTATACTTTCAGAAAAACAAAGTTTAACGTCATTTAAAAAAAAAAAGAAGTTTTGGCCGCATTTTATTTCGATTCCGTGAACATAGCGCTGCCCCCTGTTGATACACACGGAGGTGGTCACAGCTCCTCAGTAAGCTGCGCTAATATTTGTCATGTTTCGCAGACGATAGAAGTCCATAGCCCTGAGCGTTGTTACATCAGCTGTCTACATGTGTGGCTCCACCGTTTGTGTTCAAATATGCTTCAAAGGTTACTACACCGGCGCAATTGCTATTAGTTGGCACGTCTTGGGCGTTTTGCACATGCGCTACTGTTGAAGCTAACGTAATTTAGGTTCAATCGTTCTCCTCATCACTGAGAATGATTGAAGGTAATAATTTAAATCGGACATGAAGTTTGACTTTAGCAACAGCAGGACCGCCGACTCGCCGTACAGCGACTGAAGGTCACTTCCTGTTTGTGACGTGGCCGAGGGCGCCGGTGACATTGTTGCTCGCGGTGCTGTCGTCGTCAAGGACAACCTTTTCGGGCTCCTTCTAAGCCAAGCGCCGGCAAAAATAGCAACAACTTTTTATTCGACGCGATCAATGTTGAAACGACGACTTCCTCTCTGCTGATATGAGAGAAGTGCGGCCATCGATCATAACAACGGCTGACACGTTTGCAGAGGAGGCGCTTTGAGAGGCGGCCCTGTGTGTAACACTTTGCGTCCGCGTGTCCCATTTTCTCACAACATTTTCACACATCCAGCACTTTTCCTGTTATTGCTCAAATATAAGACCCCCCCCCACCCCCAACAAAAAACAGTCATTTGTTTTCATTAAAACAACCACGAGGGAAACCTTTTGCGAAAAGGCACCAAATGTAGCACCTAAAAAAAAAAAGGGAACCAAAACCTGTATGGATATGACCCAATTATTGTTGCGTTTGACTGTGAGTTACTTCTTTTAACACTCGTATGATAGGTAAGCGGTTGATGGCGAATTAAAATGAGACGCGCGAGGTGTCGAGTGACTCGTCAGTGGAGCCGCCTCCGACGAACCTCCTCGTTGGGCTCACCGTGGGCAGGATGAAACGAGATGGCCCACGAGACGAATGAGTACCGTATGTGTGTCGAAACAAAGCACGTCAGCCGGATAAAGGAAGCGATGAGACAAAAAAAAAACTAATCGAACCGGACGAGCGGGGTAGTAATCTTTCTGGTCATTCCTCCCAATGAGAAGCGTCCTTAAATGCAGGACAAGCCGCCGCCTGGCCCTCACCTGCATCGGCGTGGCGTGACAAAGCCTCCCGGGACGACCGCTGCGGAACTAACCCGCGGAATGGGAGCGTTTCATCACATTCCGCTCACGCGGTTGTGCCCTCGGGCGAAATCACGAGAAAGCTCGGCGCAGTCGGCCGGTAAAACGGCAGCTAACTGAGATTTGGTTTGTGAAAACACATGCATCAAAATAAGGGGGGGGGTCGTTTTTAAATAGAAACCCTTTTTTTTTTTTTTTTTTTTGCTCGACAAAGTTATTGTGACGTGTGAAGGCTATCGGTGTAAAAGCAAAAGATATCAAAATGCGAAGATGCCTGTTTTTGAAAGCTATCAAGACGATGTCATCTCCAACATGCGTGAAAGCAACAATTGAAGCCAATAACAAACCGATTTTGTCAACAAAAATGTACAACCTCCAAACACTGTGTTTTTGTCAACACCGCATACAATATCGTCGCCAAAGAAGCTAACAAGCATATTTTGCAAGAGTCAAAGACTCTATGGTCGTCGGGAGGAGGATACTTGGGGAGACCTTGAATTTGCATCTTCCATTTGATTCCTTTCACTTTATGGGCAAGCGCTTTTTTTTTCTCCTTTTTGCAGCACTGCCTTTGTTTCCCTTCAAACATGACGGCAATATAACTCGTACTCCACCGAAAGTGAGCAAGATAACATTTCCAAAAGATCATTTTTGGCTGAGTGACAGTCTGAAAGATGCTTACAGACAACGTGTGACACACTGCTTCAGAAACACCCTCCATTACTCTCACACACACACACACACACACACACACACACACACACACACACACACACACACACACACACACACACACACACACACTTCATTCCTCTGTAATAGAAAATATGTTTCTTTTTACGATTCATCATTATACAGCGCGCACACATCACATAATCCGTATCTGTACACTTTGCATTTTTCTGACTACATCCTTAATCTTCTTAATACAACCTGCTCATAAAATGCCAAATAAATGAGTGTGAACATTGAAAATCCAACAGTATGCGTATAACTTTAATTCCGCGAGATGTTTAAGAACGACTGCCTCCTCGCAGTCTATTTTGATGAGCTTAATTGCTGTTTTATCGCGTAAGAGGCCGACAGTTTTCGCGTGTTAAGGCAGTCTCGGCAAGCCTACGGTGGCCTGTTTGTTGTTAGCTCACTAGCACAACGATACCAACCACATTTGAAATCTATTACCCTGTTTCTTTTTTTTTTTTGGCCGTTGTTTTCCTCGACACCATCCCAACTGCAACAGCCTTGAACTTTACCCCTACACTTAAATCTAATCAGTGTTTTGTTTTTTTTTTTGGGGGGGGGGGGGGTTCCCCAGCCTCAGGGGCTCGAGTCTTTTTTTCTTAAGACGAACGGTGTAGGTTTGGGACAACACTTGCCTTTTTGACAATGGCCGTAATGAGACATTTTCAATAAATCAAGCGTGAAGGATTCAGACCTACGCTTGCAAAACAAATAACAGCAGGCCACTGCGCCGACCTCAATTTTATGCAATACAGGAAGCGTGTTTTTCATTTGCAGCCTGTCCTTTAAAAAGGGACACAGGCCTCTCTTTATGTGACCCCCCCCAAAAAAAGTCAGCTATTATTGAAGTTGAAGCGGCCGGACGTGTGCATAAAGGATGTTCCAAAACAGCCCAAAAACAAGAACGGCTTTCACTCAACACCAAGAACAACACGAGAAGCAAAACGTATGACATTTGTCAGTGCTAATGAGCTCGTCTGTATATTTGAATGGCAAGATTTCAAACTGTTCTTGTCCGGTCTTGGTTGGCAACATTGGTGCATTTTTTTGGAGGTTGTCAAGGGACTCGCCGCGCAATATTTTTGTGGGGATAAGGGGAGATGGAAAGGTACAAGCACAACGCTCACCTTAACTCCAAAGCTTTAAATCAAGCCAGAAATCTGGGTGTAATTTTTGTCTCAGACCTGAATTTAACACCCACTTAAAAGCTGTCAGTCCATTTGCCGAGTACCACCTGAACAATAATAGTCCAATTTAAAGGTTTTCTGGCTCAACCGAAACAGAAAAACGTGTTCATCCTTTTATTTTCAGTAGGCCAGATTGCTGTCTTTTCAGGTCTTACTTAAAAAAAAAAATCAAAATAAAAAAATCTTCGTACTGGCCTTCAAATCTCTTATTTTGCGTGACTCTTTTGACGGGGTGTTGATGGTTTGGCATTTTCCATAAACGACTTGCAACTAAAAAGCACATCAATCTGTTGGGACCACTTCAACCCAGCCTCCGCTTTTGCGGGCAAACATCTCCCACTGAACAGAAAACAGTCGCGAACGTCTCTCAAAAATAAATAAAGAAATAAACCTCCACACATCCAAGTCCCGCATTTAGCCGAGAGAAACGATCCCCCAAGACCTCTTGCACAGTGTTGGCTCAGCAGATGAAAAGACACGAGCCGCCTCCGCAAACACCGCGTCAGCTTTTCTTTACGACCGCCGCTAGTACAGGTGCGAGCTAGGTATCGCTAGTGCTTCGCGTTGCCCTAGAGACGCGCGGGGGAGAAAACATATTCCGACCTCTCCGATGCCGCACGGATAAGCAAACGTGAACAAATTCCAGTCCAAGTCATGTCAAAGTCTCCGATGAGTTTTAGCCAAGTTGTTGTCGACAGACGCGGTAGCGCGGCCGCCCCGCGGCGACATTTTTGCCCCCTTCGTAAATCGGACCCTTTGTGAGCAAAAGCAAAAAAAAGGAGCGCAAACCGAAGCCTTTAGTGGAAGTCTGCCGCTGATCGATTCAATGCCATAAAAG